CTGACTCATGGCGACACTGTGGATGAAATATTTCCAAGAGCCACTCTGCTTCTGTTCTGCTTAGGTCCTACAAATTCAAACCCATTACCTCCCTCATTGGCTGCATCCATACTGAAGAAAAAACCTGGTTTGGCACCGCTTTAACTGCCCTGGCTCACAGCTATGGAATTCTGGGAATTGGAGTTTGTTGTGAGGCCCAGAGCAGAGTTTGGGCCCCACAACAAACTCCAGTGCCCAGAATTCCACAGCCTTGAGCCAGGGCAGTTAAAGCGGTGCCAAACCGGGTTATTTCTCCAGTGTAGATGCACCCATTGAGTCCATCAATCTAGTGTGCAGTCTTCCACTCTTTCGACTACCTTCCACCTTTCCCAGCATAAATCCCCACCTTAATATTTTTAGTCAAGTCCCACACTGAACAAGCAAAACAAACTCTTACAATCATAACTGAAAAGCAGAAAAGATATCGGAACTGTCTGATTGGAATTGGAATATGCATGAATATATGGAAAATGACTAATTTTACACTCTTAAAAGTGTTGCTATTCCATTTTAACTGCCTCCTGTTGCATTCTGGGATTAGCAGTTTGAGGAGGTGCATTAGAACAGGGGTCAGCAACCTACGCCCCGTGGGCCGCTTCCGGCCCGTGGACCGCCGATTATCAGCCCCCACCGCCACTACTACCGCCCACCACCTCCTCCGCGCGTTTTGGCGGCCGCAAGCGTCGCAGCCACCATTTTGGAAAACAAAATGGCGCCCACCACTCGTTTGCGCATGTGCAGAAGTACTACACATGCGCAAATGAGTCACGGCCGCCGTTTTGTTTTCCAAAATGTCAGCCGCAACATGTGCGGAAGCAGCGGCGGTGGTCGCAGCGTGCGTGGTGTGGACGGCAGGGGGTGCGTGCAGTGGTGGCGGGGGCGCGCGTGCGCCGCCATTCCCCCTCCCGGCCCGCCGGAAGGGACCGCCAGAAGGGACTGGCCCCAGGTAAAAAAAGGTTGCCGACCCCAGATTTAGAATATTCAGCCAGAGAGCTCTTTGGCCTCACTGAACTACAAAGCCCAGATGCTACTGGAGGAAGCCAGCGCAGTAAAAGTGGAATAGCAACACTTTTAAGAGTGTAGTGCGATAATGTCTCACAAAATGACAGTTCCCATTATCATTATTATTATACTTTATTTATAAAGCGCTGTAAATTTGCACAGTGCTGTACATACTGAGTATACAAAAATTAAAACAAAAATTTAAAAACCTACCTAAGCCATACAATCTAAGAAAACAAAATAACATTAAAACATATCTTAAAATACAACAAACACAGATACATAAGTTCCCAGAATTCCCTAGCACTGAGCCAGGGCAGTTAAAGCGGTCTCAAACTGGATTATTTCTGCAGTGTGTTTTGGACCCAAGTCTGGTCACTCTGTCCCCCTCCTCTCTGTTCTATAACAGTACAGTTGTTCCTCCACATTTGCGGCTTTGACTTTTGCAGATTTGATTATTTGAGGTTTTGATAATTATGTTCTCCCTAGGAATCTCTCTAAATATGACAAATATTTATTATTATATATATCATATAATAATGATAAATATGATAAATATGTTATCTCTAGGGATCTCTAGGAAAACAAAAATAATG